AATATCCTTGATTGGCCTTTGTTTTTTAAGAGAAAAATTTTGAAAAACAAGAAATTAATGCAGACATAGCCCTTTATTAAGGACTCTCCTGCTCCCTTAATAGCTACACCTAAACAGAAAGGTGCTAGTAAGTACTTTCCATTTTTATAAGTAGTGGTGACGTGGGTGGGGGATAATAAGGATGGAAGGTAGAGAATGGATAGGAGAAAGATCTAGGAGGAAGAAAGAGAAGAATTTGATAACTGGCAAATTAACTAGATTGTGTAAGGGAGAGGGAATCTTTCCCTGCCTGGTTTTGCTGGATTTTTGTTTTGAGACCCTGAAAGCAAATTATTCACTTCAAATGTTAATCCATTTACTCCTTTCTTTTTGCTTTATGGAGTGGAGTGGCCCTTTCTTTCCCAATTAGACATAGGTATTTTATCGATGAATTTTCTTTATAACTGCCTGTCTTGCCTCTTAGGAATATACTAAGTTTTCTTAATCAAATAGGAGAGATTTATATAACACCACCGTAATTTCCTGGGAGAATTGACTTCTGATGCCACCATTGTAATTTTGTAGGAAGTTTAAGGGAAACAAATTTTATGCCATGAACAGAGCATAGTTACTTCACTACAGTACCAAGAGAAGTTGAACTGTAAAACTTGATATTGCAAGATTATACAAGTAGCAAATGTGGCTTAATACTCTTAGGGAAGTTTTCTGGCTCCTTGGAGATCCTCATGTTCCATACCACACTTGCTACCATTAACCATTCTATCTCAAGGCCACTATGTTTCTGTTTATGGCAGGGGACATGGTAATGAGAGTTGAATAGTAAGGGAGAATTGATCTAGTAAGGAATTTCTTCACATTTATCTTCTTCATTCATTGGGAACAAACTCAAGTTTCACTCATAATGGCATTCATTCATTCATTCATTCATTGATTCAGTCTTCATTTGACATAAGGCACTATGCCTTTTGCTGCAATGGAATACATAGATGAAATAAGACATCAACCTTACTGTCTCCAGACACAAACATTAATTTTAATTATGAAATAGATCAGGGATGAGGAACCTGCAGCCTCAAGGCCACATGTGGCCCTCTAGGTCCTCAAGAGCAGGCCTTTGAAGTTTGGGTTTGGTCAAAGGGCCATACTTGAGGACCTAGAAGGCCACATGTGGTGTTGAGGCTGCAGGTTCCTTACCCCTGAAATGGATCTTCAACACTGTGATATTTGAAATTTACAAATAAAATAAATTCAAATAACAATAAGAGTAAAAATAATGATCATAAGAGGCTGTATGGCATAATAGTGAGAGCCATTTTGGTAATCAAGAAGACCTGAGTTCCACTTCTCTCTCTGACACACATTAGTTGTGCAACCACCCCCCAGACAACTCTATAAGATGGTGACAGGGAATTGCTGATCTAAATTGCTTGAGTGAGTTACACAGGGACTTCCCAATATCAATGAAATCACAGGTCTATACTCCCTTCTTAAGATGATATTTATATAGTGCTTTAAGGTCTATAAAACACATTATGTACATTAGATGATTTGATCCTTAAAACAAAGTAGGTGCCATAATTATCCACATTATATGGATGAGTAAACTGAGACCCTGAGAAGTTAAATAGCTTGCCTACTGTCATATATTAATAAATATAAATGAATGAATGGATAGATAGATAGATAGATAGATAGATAGATAGATAGATAGATAGATAGATGGATGGATGGATGGATGAATGGATGGATGGATGGATAGATAGATAAATAGATAGATGGAGAGAGAGAGAGAAAGAGAGAGAGAGAGAGAGAGAGAGAGAGAGAGAGAGAGAGAGAGAGAGAGAGAGAGAGAGAGAGAGAAATATCTGAGGCAGGATTCACACCCAGGTCCAAGTCCAGCACTCAATGCCTTATAACACATTGTCTTCTTTCCTTATGCCTCCTTTTTTAGGCAAACAAAAAGTATAGTAATAAATATGGTAGTTAGGGTATCGAAGGACTAAAATGGACCTTAGAGATCATTTGGTATGACACTTTCATTTTACAGAATAGAAAACTGAGATTCATAGAGGCCAAGAGGCTTCCAAAGATCATATAGCTAAATAAGAGGCATAGCATAGACTAGAACCCAGATCTCAACTCTCAATAATGGTGACAAAGTTCTATCTTCACTATCAGGAAGATGAGTAAAGAGAAGTTTAAAGCATTTAAGTGAAAGAATGGCAGAGTAGGTCTAAATAAAAGAGTAAATTAATCAATAAGAATTTAATAGTAGCTGTGTGACCCTGGGCAAGTCACTTAACCTCTGTCTCATTTTCTCCATCTGTAAAATGGAGATAATAAAAGCACCCACCTCCCAGAGTTATTGCAAAGATAAAATGAGATGGTATTTGTAAAGTGCTTGGTGAACTTTCAAGTGCTATGAAAATGCTAGCTATTGTTATGATGTTGTTGCTCAGTCGTTTCAGTCATACTCGACCCTTCCTGACCCCATTTGGGGTTTTCTTGGCAAAGATACTGGAGTGATTTGCCATTTCCATCTCCAGTAGATCCATTTTGTTAGGCAATCACTGTTAGGCAAGTGACTTACCCAGGGTCACACAGCTAGTAAGTATCTGAGGCTGGATTTGAATTCAGATCTTCCTGACCCCAGACCCAGTCCTCCATCCACTGAGCCACAGGCTACCTCTGTTATTATGACAGGAGGCTAATTATTCCTTTTACTTTTACAAAGCACTTACTGCTTAATGGTAATATTTGTAGACCAAAACAAGATTCTGGATGATGAAATTTATCTTCTGTCTTTCTCAAGGTCCTAAACCACATTTTCTGGGTATGTGCTTGCATATCATATAATTTGACAAAGTGTTTGAATAAGTGCTATTTATGCACTGGGGATTGGAGGAGATACAAATGAGCCTTAGTTTCTGTATTGAACATCTGCTCTATGAATTATGTACTTGATCTCAAAACCCAAGGCAAAGAGAACAAAACTGGGAAAATGGAGATCTGGGAAAACTAAGCTAGAAAAATTATATTGTCATTGAGTTGAAAGAGACCTCAGTGGTCACCTTGTGCAATCCCTGAAGTGGGGATTCCTGCTGTGGCATCTCCAGTAAATGGCACTGTAGCCTTTTTCTGAACCCTTCCAATGACAGGAAGCTCACTATCTCCTTCAGCAGCTTATATAATTTTTTAATAGTTCCAATTGTTTGGCAGCTCAGTTAGTCAATAAGCATTCATTAAGTACTTACTAGATGCCAGGTGCAGTGCCAGGTGCTGGGAATACAAAGAAGTGTAAAAGACAGTCCCTGCTCTCAGGAAGCCCACATTTTTATGGGTGGGGGACAACCTGTAGATAACTCTGCAATATAAGTTACATATACAGTGTAAAGGAAAGATACTCTGCAATATAAGTTACATATACAGTGTAAAGGAAAGAGAGTTCTTTCTTTATATACCCTTTGATGAATTCATCCTTGTCTTGCACTGGAATCTGCTTCTTTCTACCTTAGATCATTAGTTATAGATCTGCGCCGTAGAGAATGTCTTCTTGCTCTTCATTATGATAGCTATTCATATATTTGAGGCAGGCAATCATACCCTAATGCTCTATTCCTCTGATTACTAAGCCTTCTCTTCCCTGTTCTAAATGTCCCCAGTTCCTTCAACAGGAAATTCTGCTTTGGGGAGCTCTCAGTAACCCCCACTTACCTGGCTTTATACAAGATGTACTTCTATGTAAAATGATTTTCCCCTAAATTTAATGATGAGTTAAACATCATTCTATTTATTGGAATCCTACAACAACTCCTTTGTGTAAAGGGAAGGATTTTATGCTACAATGTCAAAGGCTGTGTCAGTCAAGTCCTACCAAGGTAGAAAGGTTTTGAGGACAGGCCCGATGATTGGACTATAATGCCAAGCTCAGGCAAGGTGTGATAGTCATTACCCTGTATCTGGTACGATGGGGCACTCTGAGCCAGAGGATTTAAACAAAGACTCATTTTTACTAAAATCTTTCCAGTACTCTTAGGTAGAAGCAATTCACAAGGTGATTTAAAAGTAGTTCAGAGAATTAAAAGCAATAAAACCTGCCAGCACAAAGGTAAAAAACAAAACAAAACAGTCGTCAGCAAGGGGTCTCAGGAGCTCCTCAACAAAATCTCAAAAACCACTTTCATACTCCTCTTACTCAAATGATCCACCACTAGGACCCAGATCAGTCCAGCTTGGGGCAATATTAACCTTGATGATCCTAGGTCTGCACCACAACATTCTTGCAACAGTCCCATTTAGTGTTGTGGGAATAGGACAGAGGGCTAGTTAACTCACATGTCCCAGTATGTGGCCCACACCACCAGCAAAACTCCAAGACATCCATCACCACAAGACTGACCACCAGGTGCAAATTTTGGTGGTGGTAAATGGACTGGAGCCACAACTCTTGAAACCTACTGAGATACAGATTGCAACCTACTGAGATACAGATTGCAACCTACTTCATTGGCAAAACTGGATAATTTGATCATTGGAATTCACTATGAAGTTTCAAATCATGATACATCTTTACAAATAATTTGTGAAGACAGATGAGCCAATAAGAAAAAGAATATAAATATTCTCAGAGACCATGTTGTTCATTCACACTGCAAAGGAGACAAAAGTGGAACATGGTGACATTCTAATTCCTACCTTAAGTGTGATGTCCAAAAGACCTAATTTTCTCTTGATCTTATAAGAGATCAGTACCCATGATGTTTACTGTTTTGATAATTCAGCAGAATCAAATGTGATTAAGCAGCTCAATGAGCCCAGTCTATAAGACCTCCCTCTCTGATGACAAGAACTATTGTTTCTGAATGTCTTGCTACCGATATAAACATTCCCAGGTGAAACTGACAGGTTATATCAATCAATCAATCAGGTCCAATTCATTAGCATCTGAGAGAGTCAGGTCATGACTTAGCTTGAAAGTAGGTTCAGAAACATTTCCTTACCTCTCCTGAAGTCCTACAGGCTTCATTTTGAAAGGTGATGGACTGGCAGAAATAGCAGGCTTGATTTCAGGAGTGCATCGGCCTTGGGGATCCACTATGACGTTCACCACTTTAGGGGTGTGCTCAGGTTGGACCATGCTGTTGACCGTTTTGGCGTCAGATTGGGTAGCTTGTAATGGGATGGGGGATAGGTGGATCTCTTGGTTTTTCTCCTTGTCTTGTCTCAGAGAAAGCTGAATTTTTTCTTTTAATCTGTAAAGAACCTGTAAAGAGAGGAAAACAGAATAGCAATTGTTCTCCCACTGATGAAAAAAAAATCATAGGAATAGAAAAGAAAGTCTTCATCATTTCCCTTCCTGAAGCATCAAAAGATAAAGCAAAATGAGATTCATTTGTTTAAAAGAAGAAAAGTTTTTTGCATTATTTTCTCAATTGCTAGTATGAATTTTTCCCCAAAATATATTTGCAATATTTTTTACTGTACGAACAATATGTTAATTAAACATGCACAGGAACTTGTTTTGAGAAAAAGGATTTCTGGAAGTAGAATTGAGCTTATTTTCTTATAATATTAATATATTTCACTGTTTTTTAATTGATAAAAGAGAAACAAGGAAGAAAACTCCCACAAAATATATGGAGGAAGTATATCTCATACGAGACTAGGGAGAGACAGCATAATATAAAGGAAAGATCCCTGGCTTTGGATAGAGGGGACTTGGTTTTAATTGTGTGTTGTGCTTCCTTATTTTCTGAGTGACCTTGGGCTTGTCACTTCCCTTTTTCTTTAGGTTCTTCATCTCAAAAATGAAGGGGTTGGACTGCATGACCCCTAAGGAGTTTTCAAAAATTATGATCCTGTATAAAAATAGCAAAGGAGTAAAATTCTTTAAAATATTTTTAAAGGATTTTTTCTGTCCCTGTGATTTCTCTTCTCTAGGAAATTGGAAAAAGGAAAACTACCATCATGGATCAGCAGGTCCTCTGTATCTCACTTTATTCCCTGGCTGGTGTCCTTTGCTTCTTCCTTGGCACATAGCACAATTATTTGCATAAATATTGACTAATTGATGAATTGGAATTGATGAAAGCATCGGTGAATAAATGAATAATGACTAAATAAGCTTTGGTTGTCCTAGTGAGTTTTAAAAATGGAAGAGCAGATACCTCTAAATAAAAGATATGGTTATGACCATAGTTTCCTGGTCAAATATTAAAAAAAACCAGAAAAGGGAGGGAACACTCTGTCCTGAGTCAAAAGATAATGTTTCTGCTACAATAATCTTCAAATACTTAGGATTTTTGTTTTTAAACTATAGAATTAAAAACATTGAAGATGAAAACACTGAAATTGAATAGCACCCAAGGAGTGAAATTTAAAAATACTGATTGCCTTCATCTTCCAATAACCTACTCAAAGTGCTTTCTCTCTACTCTGTAAAAAACAAACTGCACATCAGAACAACATGAAGTGAATGATTCATCTTCAGGAGACTTATTCCAGCTGACTGAAAAAAAACAAAATTATATTCCTACAACTTTTATTAAAATAGGCCAGAATGTTTTTCACAGCAAACAAGCCATTTTCCTGAGTAACAAAACAAATACTTTTGTTCAACAATGATTCAAGTCAACAAACATTTATTAAGCTCTTACTATGTGTAAAGCACTATTCTAGAAATATAAAAGTAAACAGGATTTGAGCCCTCTTCTCAAAGAGCTTTTAACATAATAGAAGGGAAAGATGTATAAGCAAGTAGCTATGCTATAATAAGACCTCCTCAAAACCCTAGTCCAATACCTCATCATTAGGTGAAGGTGACCCTGAGTTCTCAAAGACCATAGCTGTGGAGTACAAGCCCTAGCAGTACTACCATCCTAGAAAGGCTGTTAGGATGATTCCATAACAGACTGGATTTTTCCCCCAATATTGAGAGAAAATAAGGAAGGATCCCAATACATTGAGTGGATCCCCTGGGGAAACCTTCTGGGAGAACATGGACAAGAGTCTTACAGAATGGGAAGTCATCCATGTATCTAGATCTGCATCATTGGAGGAGCCATCTAAATCTGTGACATCCCAAATGCATTTGAGTATCTGAATACAAGAGAGAATATAATACAGTATTTGAAAAGGAATAGTCCAGGCAAAACACTATGATTCCCATATGGGAGAATAGGAAGATATTAAAGAGTGTGCCTCATTAAAGTGGTAGTACATGACATAAGTCCTGAAGGGAGGCCTAAAGCTGATATTGTTTCTCATTCAAACTTTCCTAGTCCGCTTTGTCCAGATTACCCTTTTTGACCTTAGTGTCATGCTTATCTGTATACAAATCGTATCAGTCTGTAGAATGTAAGCCTCTTGAGAACAGACTGCATCATTTTTTATCATTACTTCTTCACTTACTAGCATAACGCCTTATACAGAAGAGACAATTAATGTCTAATTAATGAATGAGTAGGCAAGGGGTCAGGGGTGGGGGTGATATTAACAAAGATACAGAGACAGGAGGAGAAAGGACAAGAATATGCTAAGGAGTTTGACTAGAAAATGAAGGGGATAAATTGAAGCTAAAACTGGAAAAAAAATATGTTGGAGCTAGAACATAGAAACTTGAATAGCAGAGTCAAGAGCGTATTCTTTATCCGTGCAATGGGGTGCCCCTAAAGGTTTTTGAGTAGGAGAATAATATGAACAAAATTGTGAATTAGGACAATTATTTGGGTAGCTATATGAAGGATGGATTGGAGGAGTAATGGATTAGAGGCAGAAAGTGTTGTTAAGAGGCTATTATAATGGTCTAAGTGAAATGAAAAGGTAGGGTAATTACAGGAGGGGAATAGAAGGAAGACAGATATGAATTATGTTGTTGAGGAGATACAAAAGGCCTGTACTGTAGGCAATTAGGAAGGCCCAAATTGGAGTCCTAACTCTACCATTTCCCTGCTGTGTGATCTTATTGGGACGTTAGATTAGATGATCTCTAGGGTTCTGTCTAGGGGCTGCTAGGTGGATAAAATGCCAGGAGCACCTGATTTCAGGCCTGGTGTTAGGAAGATATCTTTGTGAGTTCAAATCCAACCTCACACACTTGTTGGCTATGTGAACCTAGGCAAGTCACTTAACCCTATTGGCCTCAGTTCCTCATCTGTGAAATGTGCTGGAAAAGGAAAGAGCAAGTCACTCCAGTATCTTTGCCAAGAAGACTCCAAATGGGGTCACAGAGAGTCAGACACAACTGGAAATGATTCAACAACAGCAACAACAAAGGGTCCCTTCTAGCTAAAGTGTTCCATGAGTTTAGGAGTCTATAACTGGATTTGTTAACTGATTTGAAGTGACTAGTGAGGTAGAGAGAACAGTCAAAGGTGACTCAAAGCTTAAGAGCCCTGGTCAGTAAGACCTTCTGGTGGCATGCTAAAAAGTAAAAGGGAAGTTAAGGAGAGGAATAGGTCTTTGGGGCAAGATGAATTCAGTTTTGGACATGCTGAGTTTGACAATTGGACATCCCAGCTAGGGATGTCTAGTAGTTAATTGGAAATATACATAACTCTGTGCAGAGGCTATAACTTCCATAAGGAGGTAATACATAAATGTGCAAAGAAGTACATGAAGGATCTGTGCTTTCATCAGCAAAGGGAACTCCTGTCATGGATTCTCCCTCCACCAACATAAATAGAAATTAGTCTATGACTTAAGTCCTAGAGAATCATTAGTAACATAAAGAGGTTAAATGACTACGTGGCTAGCAAGTGACATAGGAGAGATTTTCACCTATGGTGTGGTGTAGTGGGTAGGGTACTAGACTTGGAGTCAAGAAGACATGGGTTCTGGGGCAGCTAGGCAGCACTGGCCCTGGATTTAGGAGGACTTGAGTTCAAATCTGGACTGAGACACTTGACACTTAACTAGCTGTGTGACCCTGGGCAAATCACTTAACTCTGATTACCTTCTAGAAAAAAAAAAGAAAAGAAGAAGACATAGGTTTAAATATAGCATCAGATACTTACCAGTTTTTTTTAACCATAGGCAAGTCACACAAACTCTGCCTCAGTTTCCTCATCTGAAAGATGAAGGAGTTAGATTTGCTGGCCTCTAAGGTACTTTCATCTCCAAATCTATAGCCTATGATCCTTCCTCCATTGTTATTTCTAATTCCAACCTCGAAACCCTAGTCTCTATATGGAGGTGGTAATTAGTAATAAATAAAGATTACATTGTAGATTTTGTAAGTTCAGGTCCAAGGATATTAATTAGATTTGCCTAGATCTTTTTCTACCAGAGTGAAGTGTTTACCAAAGGAAAAAATACGGGAGTTGAGGAATAACCATCCTGACTCAATTATACTTCATAGTTAATTTTATGCATATATACATATATTAAAAAATTTTTATAAAGACAAAATTACTCCAAATCCTTCTCAACTAGCTTATAAACAAGACTGGATAAAGAAACTTTGTCCCATATTTTGCAATCAGTCATCTACTTATTTTATTAGAGGCCAGAGGTTAATTCTCCAATCACTCTTTCTCTGGCGTGTGTGTGCACACTAGTCATTTCCAAAGCAAATAGCTTTCATTGTGAAATAACTGAACAGGAAAACTCAGAAAATGAATAAAGATGTTTATGAGTTACCCTTTAATAAATAACCAGATAAATTAGCCAATAATAATTACATCAAATAAACTCATGGAATTCCTTCAAGAGGTTTGCCCCAAAATAGAATAATTCAGTGCACAGAATTTCACCCTCTTCTTTCCCCAGGCCATCTGCAGTCATTTTATAGGAAAGGAAACCAAGTCTGAGAGAGGAAAAATAGAAGGTAGGGTAGGTACTTCTTGAATAGAAATACATAAATGTTGTCTTCATTTTCCAAAAAGGGATGATGATGGAGTTTTCAAATTAATGAATTATAGGCCAGGAAGCTTGATTTAGATTTATGGCAAAATTCCAAAGCAGACTAAAAAGAGATGATATGTGAATACTTAGGAAAGGCAACGGTGGTGGTTGAAAGCCAGTGTGGGTTGATACAGAGTGGGTCATACAAGACTAATCTTACTAACATTTCCTTTTTTCTTTTAAACAAAGTTACTAAATTGGTAAATCTGGGGCATACCTTTGACACTGAATACCTAGATTTCAGCAAAGTCACTTGTCAGTCTCTTGTGGCCAATATTAAAGACAAGTGAGCTGGATGATAGCACAGTTGTATAGATTTAGGACTGGTTGGATGTCCAAACCCAAGGAATACTCAATAAT